CAATCCCTTCGTATACCATCATAGCGCAAGACCCGAAATTTACGCGTATGGCGTGCGTAACATGTGGCGTTGCTCGTTRGATCGAGGAGACAAAGACGGACGTGGGAAAGGACGGTTCTTTTGTGGTGATGTCGGACAGAATAAATTCGAAGAGATCGATTTAATAGAGAAAGGCGGCAACTATGGATGGAGGGCTTATGAAGCCAATGATTGCTTTGATAGCAAGCAATGTTATTCACCAAAATTGAGTAAGTATTTTGACAACTAAGTCGAGGAATTTTTCAATATTGTGTTACTTATTGCGTTTTGCATCATGCGTGACACAGGTAACGCAATCTTCCCTATTTTTGCGTACAATCACTCGGTTGGCAAGTCTGTTGTTGGAGGTTATGTATACCGTGGATGCCAGAACCCTAATCTATATGGTTACTACATATTTGGTGATACATGGAGCAGGTTTGTGTGGCGATATCCATTTCCCTTCCTTTCTTCCTTTCTTTTCTGTTTCCTTTCAACTCATCTCACTAGCTTCTTCTTCGTTTGATCCCGTCCGCCTTCATTTTGTTGTTACTTAGTTGTTCTCACCTTCTGTTTCATCGTGTCCTTGCTTTCATTATCTAGTTTTTTTCTATCATTAATCCACCTTTCTTTCTAAATCATTGCTTCATAACTGTGTTATTGGCATTTTTTGTTTCTGATAGTCGTTTCTTCACACTGATCCAAAACAAAACTACAAGAAGATGGGATCACCGCGAAATGTGCTTTGGAGACAAATCATACTGTACAGATACACTGAAGGGAGATTTTGAGCAGTTTGTCCTGTCATTCGGTGAAGACGAAGCCGGTATAGCATTTGTGAATACTATATATTATACCATCTCTTGTCACATAACCCTTACAATAATTGATACAGAAATCATGGTGTTATAAGCTCATAAAGTCGTAATTCAATAACCCTTTTCATGCCATTGAAGTTAACTGTGAAGAGCTCTATCCTCGTTCCCATTTAGCTCTCCTATATCCCTGTCCCCTGTGTAAGATTGGGACCATAAATTGACATGAAACGGCAAACTCAAGATTGGCCCATATCCCAACCCAACCCATTCCTCTAGAGCTGACACCCAGGCTACCAATGTACACTACAAGATAACTAACAAGGCAAAAATAACTATTCTTCCAGGAGAGATTTATCTACTAGCCGTACCTTCGCCAAAGGCAAAGACTCCTGTTGGTTCTGTTTATCGTTTAGTTGATCCAGCCAGGTAATGTAGAAACATAGCTATATAAGTTCCTAATAGCTATTGATACCATCTAATCATGCAGGGACTACATATTCTTATAAATATTCTTGTTATGATTACTTTAGTGTCTTTTATAACATTTACTTTTTAATTAATTGATTTATTCATTCATTCATAATTTATAGATTTCCAGATCGCTATCTATCTGTATACCATGCCTTATAAAAGATTTCGCAATTGAAACTAGAGATTTCGTGCTCTCTTCTGCAAAATAACTGATAATGCCATAATTTATYATAAATAATMATTAATGCTACTTCCTTCTAGGCGTGGMGATCCTGAAGATTGCAAATTCGTTCCCAGGTCACTCAACACAACTGAGCCGTTGCTTACCACTCCCCCTTCACGAAATYACATTTCGCATGGCAGCGTKTCTCCGAGRAAAGCGTCGTTTCTGCACAAGGCAAACTTACTACTGATGCTTGCTTTGTTCCTAATTGCTGTCAGACAAACTAACGAAGATTATGGCTAACACCAACTTTTATTATTTTTTCACAATGACGTTAGTGTAAATCATAGTGAGGTTAGCCAGACTATTTATTACTATGACAACCATGGACCATCATTCCTTCCAGGAGAGGGAATCCCAGTGACTGCAAAATCAAGCCCAAACCACCTCTCCCACTTACAACGCAACCTCCTAGTACCAAGCCCACCCGGCCATGCACAGCTAAAGATACGTTGACAGATATTTATAAAGATTATGCGTACGGTACCAAAAGGTGTCAGATGTATAAGCAACGAGATCCCAAGTGCCTTCGTTCGTGGTTTTACAAGAAGCATTGTAAAAAGACTTGTGGATTCTGTTAGCTCAGGCCTCGAAATATCTCGTCCATAGCACRGATATATGCATATGTAATCATGTCATAGCCAAACAGGCATATAGATAGGCAGCAATCAAGATATTATATAATCATTATGTAGAAGCAATAAAGGTAAAAACACTGTAACTCAATGAAATGTATTTGACACCAAATCATTGTTGTATCATCAGGAGGGGCGATCCAAGCAAGTGCGCTTTGAAACCAGGTAAACCGGTCAAACCTCTTAACCTAAAACGACCGAAGCGCAAAAGATGTCGCGATACGATGTCAGATTTCTACCCAGCTTCTTCGAAACTGAACTGTTGGAGATTCAGATGGCTTGGTCACTGTCGTTATCGTGGGATTTCTAAAATGTGCAGGAAAACATGTGGAAATTGCAGCTAAAGTTTTCTGCTGTGATGGACATATATCAGAGATAACATCGAGAAAGTTTAGCGCTAGGAAGATTGGCTTTACAAAATCAGTTTTTAATAGTCCAAACTGAATTTTCCCACTGCATGTTCCGTGCGTAGAATAGGAAAACTGACACTTTTCTTCATAGAACACTGGAAAAAATCGCGCACTTTAAAGGTTGTAAATTTAATGTAAATATGATGTAAGTGTCCAAAATTCTGTAAATTTGATAAATGATTTACAACAAATTTACAGAATTTTGGACACTTGCATCATATATACATCAAATTTACAACCTTTAAAGCGTGCAATTTTTTCCAGTGGAAGGGGCATGAAAAATCCTCTGCTCGCTTGGTAGAATTTTTAGGTGTGTCATTCAAAATAACATCAACTTAAAAAGCGTATGCTCAGAAAATGCTATGCTAAAAAAGGCAACTACCACTACAACAAAAACAAATAAAAATTAAGAAAATAAATTCTTTGAAAAATGTGTGTGCTGCTGAATGCGAGAAATTTTGAAAGTTTTGTGGGCTTCCTGTGTTACCAGTCTTCCCGCGCTTTAAAATGGCTGACGGAAGTGACCGATTTGTGAAGGGGATTTTGTTTGACTTTGATAATACTCTCGTTACAACAACAAAGTCGGATATCAAGGCATTAGAAAACGTCAAGGAAAGACTTTCCAACGATTTTAASCAAGAAAACGTCGAAGCAATRGCTAATAAATATCTTGAACTATTAGCAATCGGCTCTATCGACCCTGAAGGAAAGGTGGACCCCCATTTATGGAGAACATTACTTTGGAAAAAAGCGATAGACTTTGTCTCTAAAAATGATGAAAATCCCAAGGCAGAAAGCATTTATAATCTCTGGAGGTTTGCGCGTTTAGAAGGAATCAAGCTCGAGAAAGAAGTAGCAGATTTGCTAAAGAATTTGAGAGAAAAATARAAACTTTCCTTAGTAACAAACAGTGACCCTATAATTCAAAGAGAGAAACTGCAAAGCTGTGGAATAATTGAATACTTTGATGKTATRATTATTAGTGGTGAYGAACCATARCCAAAACCACACCCATCAATATTCATCAAGGCATGCGCCAATATTGGAGTCCCCCCAGAACAATGTATCATGATAGGGGACAATKTAAGACATGATATTCAGGGGGGTGTAAATGCAGGATTATTTGCAACTGTTTGGGTCAAAAAGGAGAGTCAACAAGAAATGACTATAAGTGATCCTCGACCAGATTACACCATTGATAGTGTTATTGAACTGCCTAAAATATTAGCAACAATTTCATGATGGGCACATAAAAGTTGTCATTATCTGGGCTTGTGTTGTTATTAAAAATAAACTTTCAAAAATTGCAAATTTGGTGTAAACACGAATTCAAGCTACATTGATTAATGGATGGTATGATATTATAATTATAACATTATTATTTTTTCTTTTTGTTTAGAAAAAAATTGACCTTGCCTTCCCCTCCCTAAGCCGTTCAAATAGCCGCCTGAAAGCGAGGTTCGTTGCGCAGGCGCATTATCGTCTTCTAAATTTCGCCATCTTTGTTTTTGTGTTGTGTCGAAGTATTTTTTGCTTATTGTCGGCATCGTTCAATGGCTACAAAATAGCCTGGACTGCTCACAGATGTCATTTAGTTAGTACAGACTGTAACTGCATCACATGCAATGTCAAGGTGAGTTATTTGTATTTTTTTTCGCCGGTAAAATGTCAAAGAAGTTTTCGCGCTTTTTTACATTCGCATGTGTGGCTGAGCCATATTTGAGCGATATCGTTTTGTAGATTGGTAGATTTAATATTTCTATTTAATTATTAGCTCAACAAGTACCTCCAATCAGCCTCAGAAGACTTATGGTGTAACATCGGCTATAAGTCATGCTCCGCCGAAAGCGAGAGTAAGCACAACGATTCTTGTTGGTTTTGCACGTGTCCAGCTTTCTCGTTTGAAATATTGAATCAGAAGGCAACTGAAACTCTGATTTGTTTTGTCTTTTCTTAGGATTTAGAGCTTACTAAGAAGCTAGAGGAGTCTCTTCAGCCTTATGGAGTGTTTGAGTCAGAGGAAGAGCTACAACACCGGTATGGAAACTAGATTAAGCTTATTATAAGTTTTCGTGATCATATTATGCTCTTATTCGGGACGAGCCACGTCGACACCAAAAGTAGTCTCAATATTTATATTTTTATTTAAAACCCCAAATAAGTAAAAGAATAATATATTTTTGACTTTTTGTGATTTTTTTGTTGATTCCTTTAAACATTAAAGTGCAGCAAGTTAATTGATATTCACTTATTGTTCAATTGTACGTTATTAATTGTTTTGATTTAATTAGTACATATTTTTTAAACATTTCACAGCATTTCTTATATTTAATTTTGGTGTTGGAAAATCATTGATTGTTTTGACTGTGATTATAAGATGTTGCTTGTTATATTTAGCATGACAGTTCTTGGCAAGCTAAATGAGATTGTGAAGCAATGGATTGTGGATGTCAGTCTGCAAAAGGTAATCAAGATCTATTGCAGATATTAAAAAATTTTTATTTCCACATTGAAAGTATGATGTTAAGAATTGGCAGTTGTACTSTACACAYAACCATYTTAACTGCAGGATCTCATACAAAGAATCTTACATATCAGTAACTTGATATTTTTTCTAGAGCATGCCTGAAAATGTTGCTCACTCTGTTGGTGGGAAGATTTTCACATTTGGATCATTTCGTCTTGGGGTKCATACAAAAGGTACAAAAGCAATGGCGAAAACTATGTTCATGCACATGATCGAGGAACTTTAGCAGTTACTAAACTGTAACAACCATTTTTTGTAGGGGCTGATATTGATACCCTTCTTGTTGCGCCTCGTCACATTGAAAGATCAGATTTTTTCTCATCATTCTATGATCTGTTAAAAAACCATGAAGATGTAAAGGAACTTAGGGTAGGATATTTTTTCTTTCAGTATTGTATTGTGCTGTGATCTTAATTGCACTGATTGTTTTATTGTAGGCTGTTGAAAATGCTTTTGTTCCAGTTATAAAGCTTATATTTTGTAATATTGAGGTGAGCTTTGTCATATTGAGGTTAGATTATAAAACTAAAAATAAAGAAACAACCAACACCAAAAAATGAAAAATAAAATAATAATAATAAACACTAATAGAATCAAATAAAAGAAAAGCTTAGCGCACTGACATAGAATGACCAAAATATTCTTTAAAATGTACAGTTTAGCAGTGATCATTATAAAAGATATATCTTTTTTTTTGTTAGTTTGATCTGCTATTTGCTCGTTTGGCTTTACCAGAAGTTCCAGATAGTCTGGATTTGCTGGATGAAAACCTGTTGAAGAATCTAGATCCCAAATGTGTGAGAAGTCTGAATGGTAAACACTTGAGCTTCAGCTATTATGTTATTAGAAAAGTTATCAAATCCTTGTTTTTAATCAACTCTTCTTCACATCAGGCTGCAGAGTGACAGATGAGATCTTGAGGCAAGTTCCTAATATCCAAAACTTCCGGCTTACGTTACGCGCTGTCAAACTTTGGGCAAAAAGTAAGAATCTTATTTTTTGGTTCTGTAAACTTATCTAATCTTATTATTAATTTATATATACTTGATATTGTTGTTCTAGAGCGTGGTATATATTCCAATGTGTTAGGTTTTCTTGGCGGTGTTTCGTGGGCTATGCTTGTTGCAAGGACATGTCAACTTTATCCAAATGCTGTTGCATCTACTTTACTTTTAAAATTTTTCCTTGTGTTTTCAAGATGGTAAGGAAAAGATGTATTAGTAGTAAATAAACTGCAATGTTTATAATATCTTGAATATTTTTCAAGGGAGTGGCCAAACCCTGTTCTGCTGAACCAAATTCCTCAGGCATCTGAGAACAAGCTTGGATTTCAAATATGGGATCCTAGGGTAAGAATGGAAATTAGCATTCTTCTATCTCTTTTTATTTCATTTTATTCATTCTTGAGTGAAAGGTCTGTGGATTAAACTTTGTCCATTCCAACTGAAGCAATATGTTTTTTGATGAAAATCCTGACAATTTCCCATTTGTAATAGACTCAGTGAACAAGAACAAATCCTTGAAGGTGTGAGGAATACTGAGCATACTAGATATTTTCTTTTATGCTTAGAGTTCCTGGATGCCTTAGCTCAATGCTTTGTTTTCTTTGGTTCATGTATTTCTTTTTTTTACTCTTGTTTTTTMATTCATGTGAACTTTTGTTAYTTTAGTCATCCATTCATTTGCACATTCTTTCATTTTTTTAAAAAAATCATTCAAACAAAGATGATTTTTTTGTTATATTCCAGTTAAATCCATCWGATCGCTATCACCTAATGCCAATCATTACACCAGCTTACCCACAACAAAATTCTACATTTAACGTCTCACTGTCAACAAGGGAAGTAATGCAAGATGAGTTCTATATAGGTATGTTAACATGTCCTCAAATTCCCTAGCTATATGTTTATTGATAACACATATTTCTATGCTTCGTTGTGCAGGTCTTAAAAACACTGAAGATGTCCATAACAGCAAGGCAACATGGGATATTCTGTTTGCACCTACTAATTTCTTCTTGAAATACAAGTAAGTTATT